TCTTTGTGAACTCTGGGACCGACAATCTTGTATATATTGAGCTTGTGATGGTATCTTGCATTTTACAAGTCCCTTTACAACACGAGATTGAGCGTATTCTCGTGTCATTGTGGAAATACCAAACGAGTTATGAGACTTTTCAACTGTTTTTTCTTGACTCTGCGCTCTCGACACCAGATTGCCTGTGCTGCTATACGTATATATAATTTCTATAATCTCTAAAAATTTAAGATTCTATTTGAGTTAAATTTGAACTCCCCGTTTGAATATAATGTTAATAATCTATTTTTAATGTTCTCAAATTGTTTAATAAGGTGGATGCAAAATGTAGTAGTCTCTCTCCTACCATATGCCTCGTTCTTCTAATAATAGACGACAGTTCACCAATTTTTAATATTGTTCTACGCTATGAAAATTGCAAAATTCTACTTGTACAATCGAGATTGACAACCTCTCACATGTGTGGGGGTCCGCATGTTTAAAAAATTAAAAAAAAAAGAAAAAGAAAGTGGACCCTCCATGTGAGTAGTTGTCAACCGAGGTTGTACACATAACATGACTCATTAAAATTAGACAATTTCTTGTAGTTACTCGGTCTTTGTCTTCAAGGATTTGAAGGAAAACCATCGAGAAGAGAAAAGGTCTGAGTTTGGCTTTACTATCTAATTACGCTCTATTTTTTCTTTTTCTTTTTTTCGAATTTTATTTTTATGTTTAAGCTTTGCTCATGTTCACTTAAAAACATAAAAGTTTGAAACTTGGTCTTGTTTCGCCTCCAATTCTTAAAATTCATTTTTTCTCAAATTCATTTTCAACCACGTGTTAGATATGGCTTATAACTTTTATCAACTTATCATTTATGTATTTCATCATATTTTACTAAAATCTATTAAAAATATAATTTTAATTCAAACTGAACATGGATCGCCTAATTATACTTTATACCATGTTTGATACTCATTCTTTTTAAAATACATTTTTCTCTCTTATTTTCAACCACACATTTTTCATGAAAATAATATTACATACAAATTTAAATTTTTTTTCTTATTTTTTAACCACACATTTTTTTCATTAGATCACTAGTTAAAATTCAGGTGCTGGGCTTTTAAAAAGGGTACTTTACCATTTGTTACGCAGTCCCAAACTCAACGGTAGAGACAGAAACTAATGAACCAACAAAATCAATCATTATGTAGGCATGCGAATCAATTGTGCGTCACAACGCAATGGATTTCACCTTTCTATTCCCTGTCTGGTCAGAAGGAAAGGGAAAACCAAACTAATTTTTCTCTTAACCTATTGAAAAAGATTGTTTACCTTCCAATTTTCTCTCTTCTTTCCATACTTACTATCCCATCCCAAGCAAACATGAAATTCCCTCCGAAAACTGCACACACACACCCTTTTCCGCCAACCTAACATGGAAAAGTTAATTTTCCTCCTAGTTAACTTTACTCTACTTACAGCAATCTTTAATTTATTTTATGATTTGCTACAGTATCATTTTCAATCACACATTCGTACAATAAAATATTCTGCATATATACTGAAAAATTTTCCATACATTTTAATTTCACATTCTCCTAAAAATCACTATGATTGTCGAACAGTTGTGTAACCTTGATCTCAAATTTAGCCTGTGTCTCTTTCCTTCCATCTCAAGCAATTAAAAACAAAATTGAAAATCACATCCCTTCTACACGCCTCCACCTCTAGTGCCTTCATCTTACCCACGTTCGCTTCCTCTATATCCTCTCTCTCTCTCTCCCTCTATCTTACACACACACACACACACACAACCGTTGCATTTTCTTCTCATAATCTCAATTCTTCAATACTCATTCTTATAGTAATCTCGATTCAGATTTTGTACTTCTTTCTTGCTTTTTACAACTGAATTTATTCAATCTTGTCTTTTAGATCAGTAATGGCTTCAGATAACAATAACATTCAAATTCTCTCTCTTCTTTTTCTCTTCTTAACATTCTTTTTCTGTATAAACCCAGTGTTATCCGCAGATCCACCGGGAAATTCCCCCAGTCCATCTCCACATCCACCAGCCGACGTCCTCTCGCAGCCGCCGGCTCTATCTCCAGAAACACCATCTCCTGCTCCTTCCCCCTCACTTGCCTCCCCTCCTGCGCCTCCGCCGTCAGATCTCTCTCCAAGTCCCTCTCCAGCACCATCTCCAGCACTAACCAATTATTCTTCTCCTGACAAGTCTCCGACATCGTCACCGGCACCGGCTCCTGTACCGGATGTAGCAGGCGACGAGGACGTAAATACGAGTAATGTGGTGTTAGAGAGGGACTCCTCCTCTGGCGGGATAAACTGTTGGAATTAATTGATGTATTTGGATCATTAAATATGTTATTTAATGATGTGGACCGTTGTAATTAATTTGGGTGAATTGGAAAAGTCTCCAATATAGGCCCATATGTTATAAGCCCATTTAAGTGTCTTATATATGGTAAGGAATCCCACATCGAAAG